ATATATATATGTTGTTGCCAAGTGCCATCAAGTTGGTTCCAACCCATAGTGACCCTGTATAGGGTTTCTGAGGAGAGCTAGTGAATTTGAACTGCCAACATTGTGATTCACAGTCCAGTGCTGATCCTACAGCACCATACCAGGAGCACTAGCCCCTAGCATCCTCCTTTTTTTCAGACATGTCAGGCAGAATTTAGCCTCAGGACCTTTGCACTTGCTGTTTCCTTTGTCAGTAATGTTCTTCTCTCAGATATTCACACACCTCACTCCTTCACTTTATAACTCAGAGTCCATTGAAGAGATAGAAATCACAAATTATTTGAATAATGAGCTATTTGCTTTTTTAATAAACTTTATTTTCTTAGATCAGTTTTAAGTTTATACAAAAATGGTTTAGAAAGTACAGAATTTCCATCTACTCCTGTCCTCCACAAGGACCCCTGGTGGCACAATGGGTTAAGCACTGGGTTGCTAACCACAAGGTCAGTGACAACGGTTTGGCTTGAATTTTGGGAGTCCCATGGTGTGGCTCAATGGGTTAATGCGCCAGACTGCAAAGCCATTTGAACTGCAAGGTTGGCAGTTCAAGTTCACCAGCTGCTCGTTGGAAACCCTATACAGGGTCGCTATGGGTCGCCAATGACTTGACGGCACTTCACAACAACAACAACAATATCTTACAAATTCAACTTCAAGATACACTTAAGAACAGATCTTGTCTGTAAACATGGGACTGCCTGTATTTATTTTAATTGATAAACCAATATGTTGTTGCTGTTAAATGCCTTTGAACCGATTCCAATTCATAGTGACCCTGTATATGGTTTCTGAGGTGTGGTTGGTGAGTTTGAACCTCTGACCTTGTGATTCAAACTGATCTTGAGGTCCAGTGCATTATCCTATAACACTACACATATTATTATTTAATATTACTAATTAGGAGTCCTGGTGTGATGCTGCGGATAAATGCACTGGACTTCACAATTAGTTTGAACTGCAAGTTTGGAGGTTCAAGCTCATCAGCTAGCTGCTCCTCAAAAACCCAATGTTGTTGTTGTTAAGTGTCATACAATCGGTTCTGACTCATAGCAACCCTCTGTAGGGTTTCCAAGGAGCGGCTAGTGAGCTTGAACTGCTAACCTTGCGGTTGAAACCAAGTTCGCAGTGCAGCCCACTAACCCATAGCACCACGCCAGGACTCCTGGAAACCCTATATAGGGTCACTATGAGTTAGAACCAACTCCACGGCACTTCACAACAACAAGTTATTATTAATTAAGGCCCATACTTCACAATAAGGTTCACTTTGTGAACAATGACATTGTAATATTTTACAAACCTGCTAGCTAGGAATCAATGGGTAAAGAAGAACATCCTAAGGCTTTATGGAGGTTGCGAGTGGGGGAAGCTGCTACTACCTCTTAGGCTTACAGAACAAAGACAACCACAACAACTTAGAATTGTAGAGGAGGGACCCACACAACTGAAAGGTAGACCCTCTGAGAAGGAGTATTGGCCAGTGGAGCTAGTGTCTCTGAGGAATTACGGTAAACCCAGCTACAAAAGAGATGGAAAACTAAAAATTGGGTTCCGCTGCTGCTACAGAAAAGAAATGCTGTTGCGGGGATGAAAGAGCACTTCCTAGTGTGATGTGCACAAAAGCTACCAGCAGAGCAGAAATTCAGGGGAGGAGCAAGTGCCTTCTTCTTTCTCCAGGCTTCCAGTCTCCTTCTAGCACCCCCTATCGGAAGAGCCTGGCAAGGAGCCAACCTACAAAGAGGGTTGCAGAACCACAAAGCCAAGTAGAGGCTGAGAATCTGTGACTCAGTAGCTGACATCCTGACTTTTGTCCATCTTTACTTAGAGATCTCACTGAGCCCTATCCTGACCACCCTGTTCATAGTACATCATAAGACTCTTCAACCTCCTATCCCTGTTTCATTCTTCTCTTTCACATTCATTCAGGTAGTTAACAGTAGCAATTGCTTTTAGGTTCTTCAGCTCACATGCCTCAGCCCACCTCCCAACAGCCACTGCAGTGGACAGTTCTATAAGGACTCTGACTCCTGTCCTTCAGCTTGTGTGCACTACTCAGCTAACACTTGCTTCTAGTCAGCTAAAAGGACTATTCATGTTAGGTCCAGGTTTCCTTGTTTAGGCACTATTGACATTTTGGGCCAGATAATTCTTTGTTATGGGGACTGCCTTGTGTGTTGTAGGATGTTTAGCCACATCCCTGCCCTGTACTCACTAGATGCCAGTAGCACCTTTCCCCCATTATGGCAACAAAAATGCCTTCAGACATTGCCAAATGTCTCCTGGTGAGCAAAGTGCCCCTCTCCTGGTCTTGAGAACTAACTACCTGGTCTATGGGTTGCATGAGAACCAGTTAAGCATGTAGGTGTTGCATCAAATAGACTGTGTTTGATTGGTGGTGGTGATGTGCCGTGGAGTTGGTTCTGACTCATAGTGACCCTGTACAGGGTTTCCAAGGCTGTACATCTTTACAAGAGCAGGACGCCTCATCTTTCTCCCACGAAACAGCTGGTAGTTTCGAACTGCTGACCTTGAAGATTCCTGTATCACTTTGCCTAGTCACTTAACCTGACTGTACCTCATTTTGCTCACATGTAAAATGGGAATTATAATAATAACTACCTCCCTGGATTATTGTGAGCATGGAATATGATAATGTGTGGAAAAGGGTTAGTACAGTACCTCACAAACAAGTCAGGCAGCTTCAAAAAGTTCATGAAAAACATTGCATTTCCTTTCAACAAACCAGTAGTTTTGTCAACATATGATGTCAAATAATGGCTTGGTATTTGTTTTTGTTTCCTCCCACCCTGTCATTAGAGGGTCCTGATGATGGTCTCAGAGCAGTGGGCAATGACTCTGTTCCAAATGATATAGAAATTTCACAGGAATGAGTGCCAGATGCTAGAATCTGAATAACTGATGAAGAGACACGTCTGCAATTGAGATTGATTTAAAACCAGTTAACATATTGAGCACAACTGTGCAACACTGCTGAGAAATAATCAACACTTGTCAAGTAGCAAATTTCACTGTGATGCTCAGAGTTCAACTTGCTGCTCAAGTCATATAATTGATTATTTTTCCAAATGGGACAAGAAGGAATCAAAGTATTCAATATTGCCACGTGTCTTTCAGGTAGTGGCAGTTTTCTAATCTCAGTCAACACGTTGCTGGGACGTACAATATTCAGGTATATGTAGAGATAATGCATAGGGTTTATTTCTGTATCACAAGAGTCCCAGGCTGTGAGGACAGACATCTGGATTCTAGTTTGAGCATTGCTACTCACTTGTTACACTAGGCCTGCAATTTCCATTGGGTCCTCAGTTTCCCCACCTTTAAAATGAACAATTTGGAAGGATGCAGTTCTTTGGAACTATCTATGAAGTGCTGCCCCATCCCTGCTTCCACCTCCCCAGGCTCTCAGAGCATGCAATGGAAAGAAACTCATGAATGGAGGGAGTGTTCGCTTCAGTGTGCTTTAAGGCTGCCTGTATGATTCTCATATCTTCTTTCTTTCCTTCCTAGGTACACAGTTCTTCACAGTAGACATCACCAGGAACTTGAGAAACTGCCCATACACAATGACCCAGAATCCCTGGAATCATGCTTCTGACGGTGGACGTGGCACATAACGAAGGCATTCATTCTCATTCATGTTTGCATGAACAGGACACTCTGCCATCACCCCTGATCCTCATCACCATGAGTGAGCCATGAGGCAGTGGAGCCCAGGGCCCTGGGCCCAGGGAAGGTACAGGGAGAACAGTGCTGGACAGGACCCGAGACCAGAGCACAGAGGATCTCAGAGTTGTGAAGGGACTTCAGGCATTTTCAGATCCAGTTTTCTATTGAATACAAGAGTAACATCCTCCATAGATCCCTGAAAGTTGGCCAGTCTCTGATTATATATATATGTCCAGGGGAAGGAGTTCACTACCTCCTGACGCCATTTTTTCTGTTGTGGGGAAGCTCTAATTACAAAGAAGTTCTGCCCTTTGTTGGAACACAAGTATGTGGCTGCTCCAGCTGCCATCTTGGGGCCATGTGATGGCTCTGTCTGTCCCTTGAAAACCTTTAGATATTTGAAAATAGTGATTTGCCCACCACCCATCTTTTTAAGTCTTCTCTCTAAACTAAACATCTCAAGTTCCTCTCCACTCTGCCCATCTTTTTTGGATATGCTTCAGTTGGTGAATTAATCAAGTCTCTTTTAATGAAATTGGCTGATATCAATGAAAAGACATTGATCCCAAATCACTGAAATACTGAGAAGTGAAACACCAAGATTTTTACTTATATCCTTGTTTATAGCTATTGAATAACTGTCTTTCTCACAGAAAGCCTATAGAGACTTGCTTAGGTTTCAGTTTTGAATCCACTATCCAAAGGCATTTTCATAGGTGGTATTTGATCTGGTATATGTGTGTGTTGAAAGGTAACATTCTCTCATTTCCATATTGGCTATATGGCATTGGGATGAATCGGAATGGAAAATGAACCTACCTTTTCCCAGAGAATGTTGATTGGGAATGGTCTTATTAGAACTCAGATTTTGTGAAGGAAACTGTGCTGTCATCATGGACACCTTTTAGGAGAACTTGGCCTCAGCACCTGGTCTCAGGCAGGGCAGTTTGTTTCCTTGGGCAAAAACTTCACCACAACCCAACTTACAGACTCCTGCTGATGAGGCTCCTGGGGCTACTGTTTTTCCATCTAGTAACTTTAAACCAGCATCTCATTCTCTACAAACTCCTAAGGAGATGCTTTCCTTTCACTGTCAAATCCAACTCTGTCCCAGTTTCCTAATTTATTTGGTAGTCCCAGAATGAGACTCATAGTGAAGGCAAATGTTTCAGCCACCCTTCTTTTGACTTCTGATAAAACTGCTATTGACAGAACTTACTGCTGGGCCTTATAGTGAAACAAAGGGACCAGGGAATGTGCTGGTGGTGGTGATGCTGTGGGGAGAGGGAAGGAGTGTGCCTAGCACATACTACAAGATAAGCATGTGGGAGAAGTGTCACACCTCACAGACTTCTCCTTTCCCGGTTATTCGATCTGTTGACTCTGCTTACTCTCTTCCTGAGTGATCTGAGAAATCACAGCTGCTTCCTGTTCACCAACACTCATTTCTGAGGACAAAGTCCATGTGCCCATTAGTCCTCCTGTTTCTCTCTGTCTTCAGATATGGTGAGAAGGGATGGTCAGATATCACAGAAGACTCGGATGCACATCCCAGGAATCTCCTCAGTTTGGTCACCCTACACATAACACCATCCCAGTGCTGAAGATAACAGGACTCCTGATTTGCTTTTTCTTGGAATAGGCAAAGATTAGTGAATTCGGAAGTGCAGAGTTCTCCACATGCTGTGTGGAAAAAGGCCTCTGCTCTTCAAGGACAAGGAATTTGTTGGATGGAGAAGGATCTAGGAAGAGATCCTAGGAACCAGATAATTCAGAGGAGGAATATGTTTAGTATTTTTAGGAAGCTGGTCAATTTCATGCCCCCACATTGATAGGATCTACTATTAAAGATGAAGTCCTGGTGTGGCTCTGTAGGATAAGCACTGGACTGCTAAACACAAGATTAGTGGTTCAAACCCACCAGCTACTCCTTGGAAACCCTATACAGGGTCACTGTAGTTGGAACTGACTTGTTGGCACTCAACAACAACAAATATGTGTAAATTCACACATACATATACAAGGGTAAGGCACAGTATTGTGATCAAATCATAGAAACCCCCATTAAACATAAATATAAAAACGTGTAGCTATTGTTTCTTGATATCTCCTCCATGTAGGTCTACATATTTCTGAAGGTGGTGAACAATCTTGTACTCTTTCATTTCAACCATGTCAAAATGATAGTTTGGGCATCCTCAAGGGGTCCAATAAGTTCCTTTTAAATGTTCTTTGAGTTTGGAGAACAAAAAGAAGTCTAAAGAAGCAAGATCAGGCCTGTAGGGCAGATGGGACAAGGTTTCCCAATGAAATTTTCCTCAAACAGCACTTACTACTCTTGAAGAATGAGGATGTACATTATTGTAATAGAAAATAATTCTTCAGTGTAATTTTCTTGGTCTTTTTCTCATCAATGCAGTTTTCAATTTTCTTAAAACTTTTATCATAATGTTGTTGTTAGGTGCCATTGAGTTGGTACCGACTCACAGCGACCTTATGCACAGCAGAACAAAGCACTGCACGATCCTGGGCCTACCTCACTACTGTTGCCACGCTGGAGTCCAAATCACCATAATCATCCTATGTGTTTCAAGAGAATCTGTCTATCTAGAAAGAAAAGAATCACCATAACCTTCTGAGCTGACCTCTCTACCTTCAATTGAACTTTCCCAATAGACCCCTTCAGAAGCCACTGTTTTGATTGGACGTTTTTTTGATTGAACATGTTCATGAGACTAAGACAAGTCTGTTACTGAAAGAATTTGTCTGCAGTCATTCACCAATTGCAGAGACACACTTAAACGTATTTTGTTTAGAATATACCTATACATATATGAAGTGGAACTCTAGTAGCAATACTTTTTGACTTACCTTCATCTGTCAGTAGGATATTTTTCTCTCCACGAAATGCTTCTCTCCCCGGGAGCTTTGCAAGCATATCTGCTTGTGTAAAACATTATTTCTCAGTAGCAGTTCTCCTATGCTAAATGGCAACTTGGATTCAGCAGGGATCCACAGATTACAGTATAGATGGGAAAACAGATGCTCCCATATCCCAGGCCTCTTCCTGACTCTCCACAGATACTCCTGTGTACCAACCCCTACTGCTGTCTTTAGTGTACCACAGCCACTGCAGACCAGAGAAAAGACAACACCAGTGGGAGAGTAGCCCTTGCCAGTGCCAAGAAGGTGGTCTACTTAGCAGAGGAGGGCATCATTAACATTCTTTGTTCTGTCTCTTTGGTCCAAGACTAAGGATGACATATGTAATGTACCACATACCCTCATTGGAGGCTCACTGGACAGGATCAGGTTTGTTCTGTCTAGACAGTTTTGGTAGGGCATTACTTAAATCTGTAACTTCTAGGACTCCAGGCAACATAGCATAAAAAGATATGATAAAAAATATACTCAGAAAGATAAAAATTATACTTTGCCTGAAGAATGGGCTCTTCTTCGCTGAGAATAGTTTCATCCAGGAAGCTTGTTGGATCCAGAAAGAAATTCTCCCAAGGAAGAGGAGGACAGATAGCCCCAGCCATGGATGGCAGATAGACCTTGGCAATTATTGGCACAATGAATGCAGCAACTCTACTCTCCCATGCCTCGGCATAATGAAATTTAACTTTGCTTCCCTTCAACTTGACATTGCAGCATGAGGGCTATCCAAGCAGAAGCCCTGAAATGCCCTGTTCAGCTCTCACCGTAAGCACTTAGACAACAAGAGACAACAAATTCTTCAACTTACTCGTATGTATGTGCTTAAAGAAAAACCTTTGCTTTCTGAGATGTCCCTTCATGTCACCAACATTTCCACTCCATGCTGCTAACTTGCTCTGTCCTGAAGGGAATTGTCTGTGGAATGGAGGGTGGGTGGGCATGGGTGGGGGAAAGCTAGGGAGGGAACTTGGTGGGCATGGGGAAGGGATATAACTAAATTATTTTTAATGCTTATCTTCAAGTTAGAACAAAATGCAATGTGCTATTTGGTGCTGTGCTATTTGCCTGTTTTTGCTCTTTTTCACTATTATGAGGCTCTGATCAAAGTCCTTCCTGTAAAAGCTGTTTTGGAGTTGTGGGGCGACAAATCCATGTACCTCGTCTAACATAATTTGGAATCTAACTTTTCTATCCACTCTAGAAAATTGAGGGAAAGTACTTAGTTTGGATTTAAATATGTCAGGGATGGCTTTTCACAAGGCCTGGGTTTGTTTAGGCCCTCAGCAGCATTTTCTTCACTTGTCTTCCCTACAAAATGGGGGCAGTTTCTAAACTGGTTGTGTGTTTCAACACAGATAACTCAGAACCATCACTACAACTTTTACCAAATTTGTGTTTTGGCTGGACTCTCATTTACTTAATAGTTTTATGTAAACCCAAGTTTTCGTTTACATAGATTTATTTTAGAAAGAAAAATGGTATCCGTTCCCCAAATAGAAAAATCAGTATTGCTTGCTATAAATAGAAAACAATCATAGGGACAAATAAATAATAACAAAACAAGGTTTTGGGTTCTAACTAGGTGTCAAAGGTCAGAACTTGTTCTCTGCATCCGTATTTCATAAGAAGAAAAGTGTGCGTTGCAGAGCTCCTGCAGGATCCCCATCTGCCCCGCAGCGTGGGGCTATTGCAGCTGATTGAGAATTGATCAGAGATGAACTTCCAAACTTTATGAGTCAATGTGATTTAATGCTGTGGCTATGTTCCATCTAACGTCATTTCCTGCCCCAGCAATGACATATCTTTATTCCATGCTTTGGAAAGCTTGGTGAGAAAGGAAGGGAAACTACTTGTGATTATAATTACTGCTTTATTTGATTCAAGGACCCTCAGTGGTGCAGTGGGCTAAGCACTGAGTTGCAAATAGAAAGGTCAGAGGTTCAAGCCCACTAGTCACTCTGAGGCAGAAAGCTGAGACAGGCCACTTCAGTAAAGATTTAGTCTTGGAACCCTAGGGAGCAGTTCTACTCTGCCTTGTAGGTTAGTTATGAGCCAAAATTGTCTCAACAGCAGTGGGTATGGGTTATTTGATTCATATTGTTTCCATCTTCTTTTTAACTCTGCTTTAAGAGTACCCAGAACATAACT